GGTCTTAAAGGTCTTTTCCTACCTCGTTGATTCTATGATTACAAAGGACCTCTCTGCAAGGGATGTTTCCTTGTGTGAGAGTGGTTGCCTCACATGGAGGTTCTCTCGTAACTGTGGAACTATTTCCCCCAGAAGAACCAAGCAGCCAAATTCCAAGAAGGGGAAGTTTTGGATGGCACATCTCCCTAACCTTTGCAATTAGCTGTTATAACCACGCTGATGGAGCTTCATCCTCCTAAATGACTATCTTTAGCCTCAAAGCTGGGAGTTCTGTCCCTGTTTGGGGTGAGGTGGTATCTTTTGCAGCCTCTGGGTTTGCTGTATTTAAAACACTTCCATAGGGAGACAAGGTGATTGCTGCCAAGCTGGAAAACCCGGATGCTGGAGTATATTTTAAGTGACCTCTGGGATCAGGCAGCCTGGGAGTGCAGATATCCAGGCTGCAGGAGCTTTTGTAATGCTTCTCAACTCAGTATCAGACTGCCAGGGTTCATTTAGATCACTTTTAGGAGTCACGCAATGCAGGGAACCCCTGGCAACCCCTCAGGAGAGCTACCAGAGGACAGGCAATCTCTACACAGACAGCTCCAGTTGAGCTCTGCCAGCACAGATTTAATCTCACAGCAACATCTAAAGGTGCCTGGTTGGTTGAGAAAACATTACGGGTTTCCTCACAGGTAGAGAAGGTTTTGTTCCTATCCTGTGTAAAAACACCCCTGTGTGTAAGAAATGTCAGTAAACCAGGCTGTTTCAACCTGTGTCCAAAATTCCTATGCAACCCCAGCAAGACCATACCTAATTGCATCGAGACCAGGGAGATGGGCTTGCGTAGCCTGAGGGGAAGAAACACAGGAGATCCAACTGCAGCCCACAGCTCCCTGATGGAGAATTACATAGATGATGGAGCCTCTCCTCTGCCACCAGCAGATGGAAAAAGTAAGGGAAAACACCTGAAGGTGCAGCCTGGGAGGTTCAGGTGGAACAAGAGGATGAATCTTCCCCCTTGGAAGGGGGATGCAGCCTTGAGAGGTCACAGAGGTGGGGGTCCCCAAAAGCCACAGCTGCCCCAATCTGATGTTGGTGAAAAATCTAATTCCAGTAGGAGTCCTACACCAGAGAAACTTTCCAAGTAACATCTCTTGGATTTCATAACCTCTCTCCTGTTACTTCCTGCTGCTCATGTACTTGAGGATGTGGCTGCTATAGGTTGTCCCTCGTTAATTAACTGCAATGGCAGTTGTTGCTGCTGTTTATCTCGGAAGACGCTCCTCAAAAGCCCCATCCTCCTGCAGCTCCCTCCTTTTATCATCTTATACAGGTTGCCCCTGCTGTGAATTCACTGAGCTGCATGTGTTTGCACTGACTCTTCCCAAATCCAGCACCATCACTGGTACTGTGTTAACTGAGAGCAGCCCTGAGAAGGACTTCGTGGTGTTGGGCTCCCCATGACCCAGTTTCAGTGTGCGCTTGAGCCCAGAAGCCCCCCATGTGCTGGGCTGCACCCCCAAAGCGTGAGCAGCAGCTCAGGAAGGGGATCCTGGCCCTCTGCTGTGCTCTGGGGAGACTCCCCCCTGCAGTCCTGATCCAGCTCTGGGGCAGCAGCACAAGAGGGACGTGGAGCTGTTGGAGCGAGTGCAGAGGAGGCCATGGAGATGCTGCGAGGGCTGGAGCAGCTCTGCTCTGGAGCCAGGCTGAGAGAGCTGGGCTGGGTCAGCCTGGAGAAGAGAAGGCTCCTGAAGGGGAGACCTTAGAGCAGCTCCAGTGCCTAAAGGGGCTGCAGGAAAGCTGGAGAGGGGCTTTGGACAAGGGCCTGTAGGGCCAGGCCAAGGGGAATGGCTTTAACCTGCCAGAGGGGAGACTGAGATGAGCTCTTAGGCAGAAGCTCTTCCCTGTGAGGGTGCTGAGGCACTGGCACAGGGTGCCCAGAGAAGCTGTGGCTGCCCCATCCCTGACAGTGTTCAAGGCCAGAGGTTGGACACAGGGGCTTGGAGCAAGCTGCTCTAGTGGAAGGTGTCCCTGCCCCTGGCAGGAGTTGGAACTGGAGGAGCTTTAAGGTCCCTTTCAATTCAAACCACTCTGTGACTCTATTTTAGCACTCAGAGAGCTAAAGATAACCCTTCCTTTACAAAACCACCCAGTCAAGTGACTCTCCATGCTAGCACGGTAGCTGCAATGGCCTAAGACTGTCAGACTTGACCTTGTGGGTGAGCTGCAGACCTGTGCAGAGCAAACTAAAACCCACTGATGACAGTTTTGCCTTTGCCATGTTATGTTTTGAGGATTCCTTGTGCACAGCCCACAGATGCTACGTTGAAACCCACATGTTGAAACCCCACCAACCACACAGCACCTGCACAGCCACATCTAGCCCTTTGAAGAAAGATCAGCCTGATGCCACATGAGCTGCAGCTCATCTGCTGCATCCTGGAATGTCGAAAACTCAATGCCTGGGATGTCCTGGAGGTAAAGCCCATGCAACATGAAGATGTCCAGGGTCTTCCAACACACAGCCAGCGTTATAAGAGCAACAGCAATAGTTCATGTGTTAAAAAACAACCTCCCCAAGGCAGAGCTCCTCCATTTGGGAACAAAACCAACCTGTTGGCTGCTGGAGAAAGCAGGAAAACAGTTTCCTGCCTGAAATCCTGCAGCTGCATTCCTCCACACTGCTTACTTACTCCTTTTGCCTTTAAGCACGCCTGAAAACCTCCCAGACAGGGATACAGCATTCCTTAGGCATGGATTGTTGCACTGCTTCTGCTCTCACTACAGATGCTTTCTTCTCAGCATTGACTTTATCTCCTCCACTCTCTTGTTCTGCTTGATATGGCAATAGAGCTCTAAGCACACTCTGTAGACCCTTTGGCTGTGGAAATGACCAAGACACACTCATTGCTTCAACTAAAAACAGAACCAGGTCCAAGTACTAAAATCCCCATGTACTGACTCCAGACAGCCCTTGGAACTAGCGGGTGGTTATCTCACCATCAAAACAAAACCCCAAACTAAATCCAAAATGCCAAACCGTGCAAAACCCAGCATTTACCAAAAATGACAAATATTTCATGCCCTTGTCTCAAAGTGATTCTAAGCAAGAACAATCAGTTGGCCACTTTGGCAGCTGCCAGAGTGGCCAGCCTATTATATTTCATGTAATAAAACCAGCCCATTCCACCAAAGCTGTAATCCCATGTGTGGTTTGGGTGGCTACAGTGACTTACACAAGCCTTCATCCAGATTCTCCTCCTCTTCCCCTCCTGGCACAGCTGGGGCTGTGTACTGAAGAAACCCAGCAAACTACAGCAGAAAATACAGTAGAAGAGGCTACTTTTAACGCAAAGGTTCAGCAATGTGGATTGCTGCACGGCTCCACAAGGACTTGTACCAACACAGCTCCAAGTCGGGCGGGATGTGGATGTTGGGGTGGGTATTTGGGGATGGGGAACACCTCAGCTAGCTCTGCTACCACCAAACCCACCAGCTTTAAGAGGAACACTAAAACCAGACCAAACTATGTAAACTCAGTTTCAGCTGGGTCATACAGCCTCTGGTCTAGGCAGGTACTGATACTTATCAGAGCAGAGGTGGGGAAGGGACCATGTAGGAGCAGCAGTGTCGAAGCCAGATTGAAAGCCCTATGGGTGACTGATCTGCTGCCTGATCCCAGAGGTCACTTAAAATATACTCCAGCATCCGGGTTTTCCAGCTTGGCAGCAATCACCTTGTCTCCCTATGGAAGTGTTTTAAATACAGCAAACCCAGAGGCTGCAGAAGATACCACCACACCCCAAAGAGGGACAGAACTCCCAGCTTTAAGGCTAAAGATAGTCATTTAGGAGAATGGAGCTCCATCAGCGTGGTTATAACAGCTAATTGCAAAGGTTATGGAGCAGAAAGGGAATTCTCTGTTAAAAGGAGTCTGTGATCGGAAAGCAGCAATCTGTGTGAAACCAGACATTTCTGACAACAAACTATGTCTAACAAATCACTCCAAGTGCACACCAGTGCTTTCCAGACTCACCCACAGGACAGCTAATGCCAGTAGAGCCCTGTATTTGTCTCCTTACCCATTACCAGTCTCTTACAAGCACTGGTATCCACTAAGATACATCCACTTTGACCAAACCTTTGGGGCAAAACCATGTGCTTTATGTTCCACACCCCCCCCCCCAGAGCAGAGCGTCACCCAGCAGCCACAATGAGCACCAAACCACCACACTACTGATCCTTCTGGGCTAGACAGGCTTTCCTGCCCATTCCCTTTTAAGCCCCTTTGCTCCCTGCAGTAAGGAACGTGGTTTACAACTGTTTTAGTGCCATCCACCCTCTTGCTTGCTTCATCTGCCCCAGATTATCCTCCCTTAAGAAGTGCAGACCTGCAGCTTGGCAAGCGCTGCTCTTACGGACAATCTGGGAGCAGAATATAACAGGACCAGGGCATAAAATTCCACTCCCCTGCCTCTTGTAAGGCCAATCTCCAGCCCTGCAGCTCAGTGCACTTACTCCAACCGGGAAGCAGAAGCTTTCCAGCCTTCACCTCCCCATGCCAGCCCCAGCACACTGATCTGCTTGCATTTCCACGTCCTGCTCCTGAAGGGTACCTGCATTGCCCAGCACGGCTCCCAGAGGACGGACCGAAAGCATGCACAGCCACAAACACCACGGCTCTCCCAGCTGGAACTGATACAAGGAAAACCTGCTTTGTAACTCTCTCTCAGAGTTGCGGAGTCTGATTCCGTGCTCCGGAATCACCTACTGGCGCAAATGGCAGCTTGGGAAAGCCAACGTGTCCCCCGTGAGCCAGTCGCAATGAGACACAAGAGCTGTTTCTATGTGTCCTAAGGCACCGAGGGGCTCGGGAACGGTGCCTCCAACCAGTGCCTACGAGGAGCGGGCATCCCCATCCAGCTCTGTGAGGCGGAGAGCGGGGGAAAACCGGCTCGGCCTCTCCCCGTTACACCACGGGTGTGACGGAGCCGCACTCCCCACATCGCTCTTACCGGTCCCGCCGCCCCGCCGCTCGCCCATGGCTCGCTCCTCGCCGCCCCGGCCCCCTCAGGCCTCCCGCATGCCGCCCCGCCCGGCCCTCGGCGCGGCTCCGCTCCCGGCGGATAGCCCGGGAGGGCGCGGCGCTACCGGGCCGGGCGGGCGCGCTGCGGGCCGAGCCGATGCGGAGCGGGAGCGGCGCCGGCCGCCGCCATCCGCCGGCCCCAGGAAGTGAATCCGGAGGCACCGAGGAGGCAGGGTTGGGGCCGGGGAGGGGGGGAACAGAAAGTGAAAACTGACCCGGAAAGAGAGCGCGGGCCGGCCGCGGCTTCCCCTTTCCCTTCCTCTTCCGGCCGCTTCCTCTTCCCGCTGGTGACCGCTGCCCTTAAGCGCCCCTTCTGTCGTTCCCTCAGTCTTCACCTCCTGCCTTCCCTCTCGGTGCCCTCCGTGCCTTGTTTTGGACCTTCCCTCAGTCCCTCAACCACTTCCTTCATCCCCTCACACCATGGCCAGGGCTCCTTCCCTCACCTTGCTCCTTTCCCCTTAGTGCCTGTTCTCAGTCCACCCTCAGCCCTTTTGCTGATCCCCTCACCTCCTTCCTTCACAGCCTTCTCCCATCTTTCTTTATCACTTCTGCCCCCTCCTCTCATATCTTCATTATGTCACCCCTCACATCATGCCCTGGGTCCCTCACTTCAGTCCTTCCCCCTCAGCGTCTTCCCTCAGCCCCTTGTTTTGGACCTCCCATCAGTCCTCCTGCACCCTCTTCCCTGTCTCACTCAATCCATTCCTCTGCCTTTTCCCTCAGTGTCTTCTGTCGTGGCCTTCTCCAACCTTTCTTTAGCCCTTCTTCCCCCTTCCCTCATCTTCTCATCCCCTTTCCATACCCCTTACCTCAGTGCTCCCCTCATTCCTCAGCCTCATCCCTGTCCCCTTGCCCCTTCAGGGCTGGGGTACCCCTGGAGCCCTTCATGGGGTGGTTCCAGGCCCCTTCACAGCAGCATCCCCATGCAGTGGGGTTGCTCCATCACCCCTGTTAAACAGGATTTTCTCCAGGGTCTTACAAAGTCCCTGGTCTGCACAGATAGCCTGGGATTTGTGCTGCAAACACAGAAGTGTTTCCTCCAGGAACGGAGAGGGGATGTTGAAGCAAAAAGAGTACATCAATAACCCAGTTTCTCTCCACTACCTGGAATCTGTCTGGATCCGACGGGCACGTAAACCACTGGAACAGCTTGCTCCAAGCCCCTGTGTCCAACCTGGCCTTGAACACTGCCAGGGATGGGGCAGCCACAGCTTCTCTGGGCACCCTGTGCCAGCGCCTCAGCACCCTCACAGGGAAGAGCTTCTGTCTAAGATCCAACCTGAACTTCCCCTGTTTCACTTTGAACCCATCACCCCTTGTCCTCTCACTACAGACCTTGGTAAAAAGTCTCACTCCATCCTTCTGACAATCTCCCTTTATATATTGAACATACTTATTGATCAGATTGCAGCTTTCTAGCTGCACAATGGTTTCCAGCTCCTCCTTGTTACCAGTGCTATGTGCGTTGGTATAGAGGCACTTCAGGTGGGCTGTCAACCTCAGCACCCTTTTAGATGTGCCCTAATTCCTCTGAGGCGTTCCACTGGTGTTCCCTTGCTGGTTCCTAATGCATCAACGGCCCTTGGCTCTTCTCCGTTGCTTAAAACTCCATCCCCATCTCCACTAAGTCTAGTTTAAAGCTCTTACTTGGCCAAGTGAATCCTATAGTTTGTCTCCTCCTTCCTAAACCACTTCCTCTGATGGGAGGATAGAGGAGAACATCACCTGTGCTCTAGAGCCTTTTAATGTTGATCCAAGGGACATAACAGTGACAGGAAAATGGGTAATGGCTTTGAACTGAAAGAGGGGAGATTGAGATGAGCTCTTAGGCAGAAGCTCTTCCCTGTGAGGGTGCTGAGGCGCTGGCACAGGGTGCCCAGAGAAGCTGTGGCTGCCCCATCCCTGGCAGTGTTCAAGGCCAGGTTGGACACAGGGGCTTGGAGCAAGCTGCTCTAGTGGAAGGTGTCCCTGCCCATGGCCGGGGCTGGAGCTGGAGGAGCTTTAAGGTCCCTTCCAACCCAAACCAGTCTGGGATTCTATGATGATTCTATGATTCTATGTCACTGTCTGGTGTCTCATGCCTTTCTGGGTGGTGACACATGAGGTCTGTGCAAGAGGAGAGCCCATGATCTAACTGTGGTGGGGAACCAGTTCCTGGCAATACTCTATTCTGGCCTCTTTGAAAGAATGACTCATGGAGTTCTGGCGTGCTCACAACCCACTGCTTCTAAAATAAAGAAGTAGTCATGTGAAGATCTGTTTCCTCTTTTATTCACAAAAAAGATGAATGGTGCAGATGCTGTCAGTCACCCTGTGAAAGACAATAGTTGCAATGAAGTGAGTCAACTGGGAGGTGGAAGCAGCAGTTCCTGATAAGGGCAGTGTCCTCCTGCTCAAAGACAACACGTAACATAAAGCAAATAGGTTTGAGACCATTATTGACTCCGTGGGCCAGCATCAGGAGTCCCAGCTCCTGTGTGTACAAACACAGCCTGAAGTTGTGGGGTGGCATGGGACTTGCAGGCTCCTCCACTTCTGCCATGTGTGAATCATGGGACAGCAGATGACATTGAGATATGTGGAAACACTGAGTTTCTCCTTGTTTTTTTCTTATTTCCTTATACTGTGTGGCATGAGAGATTGGTTTGTTTTCCGCTTGGTGTCATAGAATCATATAATGGTTTGGGCTGGAAAGGACCTTGAGATCATCCAGTTCCAGCCCCCTTACATGGACAGGGACACCTTCCACTAGACCAGGTTGCTCCAAGCCCCATCCAGCCTGGCCTTGAAAGGGAACAAGTGTCCTGAGGAAACAAGTCTTGAGGTTGTGCTCTTTCTGTCTGTCTTTTCCATTAACTTTTGGAGCCATTAGCCAGTTTCAACCCAATTTGACAGCAAGGTGGTGGTTTCATATACTGGTCTCTTCTATTTTCTAGGAAAGCAGTGGTCTGCAGCCCCTGTTGTTCCTGTGCTGCAGAGACTTTGGACATGCCCAGAGGAGAGAGGGGCAACTGCAGAAACTGAGAGGAACCACAGGCAAGTGACTACACCAGGGAGAAGAAATGAGATGGGCTTCTGTTACAGTGGTTCTATTTCAAGATGAAGTTTCCTTTCCCAGGCAGTGCTTTCAGAGATGAAGCAGAGCAGGACCAGAAGTTGCCTGGTTTTGAGCAGAAATGAGCCTAAACCAGAAGTCTCCCTCGATGCAGCATCACCAGGCCAAGCTGCAAGGTCAAATAAGCCCTAGCATCTGTTGCTAGAGAAACTTGTATTGTGCTGTGGTAAAATATCAAGTTCAGAGCCATTTGGCTTAGGAAGTGTTGGTTCAGGCCCTTAACTGAAAGAGAAAGTGGAGAAGGAGAACTTGTGGAGTTGTTTGACCTCTTCAGTATCCCATTATGTTTGCTCATTCCTGCTGGTGTGCCCATTAAAACTGCAGAGCTCATTTTAAAGCTGTCATGTTCAGGCTATGAGAAGTTTATGGAAAGACTTCTGGGCACCTGGGAGGGATGGGAGGGGTGAGACCAGGCAGCTAGCTCAGAAATGGATGCTCCACGAAGTCTGAGCCCTTCTGTTTTAATCCTGGTGGACAGAAAGAGGTTTGTTCCCACTCGCTTCTGCTCTACTCTGTTTTCTGTAAATGAGTGTCAAACAAAACTGCAAGGAGAAGCATGAAATGCATAGTCAGGAACTAGTTGACCCAAAGTCTACTTTATTCCACAACGCTGTCAAGATATTTGTCAACCCCCTTAAAGCTGACTTGCTCCATCCTTCACTCAAACAAAGCACCCGTAATCTCTTTGGGATCTTGCAGCAAGATAAGCACATTTTGCCCAACACCTTTAATTTTGTCATGTCATTCCATAATAGGGGAAGGTCTTCAAAAAGACCACAGCAATGCCATCTCTAGCTCTACACAGACACAGGAGCCTCAAGCACGATGGTATGTGTGTGTGGTTTCTCTGAGAATGAGTGTAACATTTACCACATGCTTTCCACATCTGAAGGTGACAGCCAGGTTGAGATTAAATGTGAAGGATTGTTCCTCCCAGAGAAATGGCTGATGGGGTCTTCTCCCTCCAAATCTTCCTTCCTATCTTCCCAACACATTTTCAGAGCTTACTGTCAGGAGTCTTATGTCTCTTCAAGGAAAGCTCAAGTAACTCTCCACAACGTGCCCATTGATGACATGCTTCTTCCTGTATTTGCTGGGAAATGTGTTGTGTTTTCATTGCCATTGAACCATGGTATTAGCTCACGGTGTACTCATAGAATCATACAATCAACTGGGTTGGAAAAGACTTTAAGATCATCAGGTCCAACCTTTACCCCATCACTGCCAAGGCCGCCACTACATGGGTCCTCATCTCCACGGTGTGTGAACACTTGCAGGGACGGTGACTGCAGCCCTGCCCTGGGCAGCCTGTTCCAATGCCTGAGCACCCTCTGGGGAAGGAATTGTTCCTCAGCTCCATCTAAACCTGCCCTGGTGCAGCTTGAGGCCATTTCCTCTTGTCCCATCCCTTGTTCCTTGGGAGCAGAGCCCAGCCCCTCCTGGCTCTGTCCTCCTGTCAGGCAGTTGTAGGCAGCGATCAAGTCCCCCCTGAGCCTTCTCTTCTCCAGAGACTCCCCCAGGTCCCTCAGCCCTTCCTCATGCAGTGTACCCCTCCCACAGTAAAGCACAGTTGAGATCTTCAGTTTCTACTTTGATTTATTCATGTGTTTGGTTTTTCTGGGGCTATTTTGACATCTTGCAGCTTCCTAAGAAACCAACTTATTGTTGCAGTTGTGATGACAAACACTCAAATAGCTCCAGCCACATTGTGGAATCGAAACCAAAGCTGTTAAAACAACCAACCAACCTCTACAAAAGCCTCTGACAAACCCCAGCTTGTCTTACGGTGGTTTCACAAGGGTTTAAAACCACACACTGCATAGGCAGCTACGGGGTCCATCAGGAAATGAGTCAAAGATGACAAGAAAGTGACAAAGTGCAGATGAATATTTTCAGTGGTGAGCAAGTGATTTGTTTTTCCAAGGCGTTTTCCCCCATTTAAAAAAATGCAATTATTGAGATATTTATTAAAAATGATTATTTCTGTTGCTTATCCTGTATTCTTGGCAATGTCAGTCTCTGA